CTGTCCGACCTTCTCGTTCATGCCGAAACGCACCACCTGCGAGTAGGCGATGTCGGTGATCTTCTTCAGATCATCCTGGGCACCCGTGGTGATGCGGTTGAAGAACAGCTCCTCGGCCACACGGCCGCCGAGGGTCATGCACATGCGATCGAACAGCTGCTCCTTCGAAAGCAAGTAGTGATCCTTGGGCAGATACTGCGCGTAGCCCAGACCCTTGCCGCGCGGGATGATCGACACCTTGAGCAGGGGATCGGCGTGCTCCAAGAACCAGCCGGCCACCGCATGGCCAGCCTCGTGATGGGCCACAGTTCGCTTTTCCTCCGGCGCCAGGACATTGGTCTTCTTTTCCATGCCGGCGATAACACGCTCGATGGCCTGCTCGAAGTGCTTGAGGACAATCGAGTCCTTGGAGTCGCGGGCGGCAATCAAAGCGGCTTCATTACACACATTGGCTATGTCGGCGCCTGTGAAACCGGGCGTCAGGGCCGCCATCTTCCGGCTCAGCTCGTTCTTGTCCAGCGATGTCTTCAGGTTACCCAGATGCACCTTGAAGATGCTCGCCCTGCCCTTGATATCCGGAGCCGGCACGTAGATCTGCCGATCGAAGCGACCTGGTCGCATGAGAGCCTTGTCCAGGATATCCACACGATTGGTAGCCGCCAGCACCACCACGTTTGTTGTGGTATTGAAGCCATCCATCTCGACCAGCAGCTGGTTGAGGGTATTCTCCTGCTCCGAGTGGCCGCCGAAGGTCTTGCCACCGCGTTTCCGACCCACGGCGTCGATTTCGTCGATGAACAGGATGCAGGGAGCATGCTTGCGGGCCATGGCGAACATGTCGCGGACACGAGACGGTCCGACGCCCACAAACATCTCGAGGAACTCGGATCCCGACACGGTGATAAAGGGCACGTTCGCCTCGCCGGCGGTGGCCTTGGCCAAAAGCGTTTTACCCGTGCCAGGTGGGCCAGTGAGCATGGCCCCCTTTGGTATCTTGGCGCCCAGATCGATGTACTGCTGCGGGTTCTTCAGGAAGTTCACGAACTCCATGATCTCGATCTTGGCCTCCTCGCAACCGGCAACGTCCCTGTTAGCATAATATAAACGGTATTAAGCGTGTGGCTCTAGAAATGTGTCACCAACTTACTTGAAACCCACTCCAATCTCTGTGGGATTGGTCAGCTTGGCGGTGGACTGCATAACGCCGCCGAAGAGGCCACCTCCCTTGCGTCCTCGGCCACCGCCCATCATGTCCGCCGACTTTCGCATCATGTAGACCAGAAAGCCGATGATGAGCAGCGTGGGCAGCAGGCCCGTCAAACTGGCGGCCTCCACCTCGTTGCGGTAGATGACGGGCACAAAGTTGATGGACTCGGTTCCCTGCTCCGCCTGGGCCGTTTCCAGGTTCCGCTCAAAGCTATCGACGCTGCCGATGTTGAACCACAGGACTCCACCGCCGCTGTTGCTGTTCTGCTGAAGCCGCACGCGCACCCACTTCTTGTTGACCACCTCCAGCTTCTCCACCACGCCCTTGGTCAGGTAGCTGTTTATGGGCGGGAACAAGAAAGAGATGTGATTTATAAATATAAATTTAATGGAGGAATATACTATTCTACCTGTGAAGTGGATTAGAAATTTACTATTACCAATAGTACAATATAGTCTTTCGTATATACAAGGAAAACTTTAATGAACAATTTGTTCCCCTCCTATTGTGCCATTTCTTATAACTTATGTGCAACTATAAATGATTCCCTTAATCTGTTTTTTTAAATAATTTAAAATATTAGTTAATTAAATAACGAAATCTGGACTTGAGTTTTAAGAACCAAATAGTTTTTGGGATAGGAATTTTTTGGCAATTCAGGTACTTTCTAATGTATGATTGGAAATAATTGAAATTGGGTTTCCACAACTAAAATGAATAAAATAGAATCCAAACATAAATAAAGTTCTAACCTAGTTAACTTGGAAATGCTATTACAGAAGAAAGTTCCATTATTTATTTACTTAGCTCTTAACCATGTTAGCAACTATTAAGAATTCCATTAATCTGGTTTTAATATAAGTAAGTAATTTGAAATTTTAGGTAAATAAAAAATTAAATAGTGACTTAAGAACTAAATAGTTTTTGGGATAGGAATTTTCAGGCAATTCAGGTATTTTATGATATATGATTGGAAATAGTTGAAATTGGGTTTCCCCAATCAAAATAAATAAATTAGAATCCAAACATAAATAAACTTCCAAACTAGTTAACTTGGAAATGCTATTACAGAAGAATGTTTTATCAATAACCTATTGGTTTCTATCTTTCATCATCAAATGATTTATATATGGAACTGCAACGAGACCCCTCACCTATTGACGAACTCCTTCCAGGAGATCTCCTTGTAGCCCATCTCGAAGAAGGCGAACGAGCCGACCAGGACGACGGCTCCGATGGCGCCCAAGAGGATCCACCGCTCCCTGTCGCCGCCGCCGCCGCCCTCGCCCAGGGGCCTTCCGCCGGGCGTGTTGCCGCCCCTTCCCGCCGGTCCCCGCGTGCTGTTGCTGAACATGCCGAAGTTCCAGTCGGACTTCGATTCCGTCTGGGATCGTGGGGGCTTGGCCGAGGCGGGTGACGATGTGCTGGGCTTCTCCGAGGCGGATTTGCTGGTTCCCGACGATCCGGGCTTCTTGTCGCCGGCGGTTCCTTTGGGCTGGCCAGAGGACTTGCCGCCGGCCTCGAAATATTTCTCGAAACCCTTCGGTGGCTTCTTGCAGAGCAGCTGGATCTGTTTGACTATGTAGCGCAGCAGGGGCGACAGCTCCGCGGGCAGTATGTAGACTCCATTGCCCGTGGCTCCCATGGATGAGGTGCGTTGGACCTGTAAAGTTGGCTATTAGCTGGAATTCCCTCTTATTTCATTGCGAACTCACCTTTTCCGTCAACGAGCCCGCTGTGTAGTTGCGCCGCATCAATCCGGCCATCGTTTTGGCCGTGCCAAACAGCCGGAACGCCATGACTACGGCGGTTTTTCGGTTTTCGCTAGGTTACCCAACGATCGGTCGCCCGGATTGCGTGGCCACCGCCTCTGAAGCTCCTTCACACTGACACAATTTTGGCACGGAAATAGTGGGTTTCTCGAACTGTCGCCGAAAGTCGCCGCCTCACCGTGTTTCGTTTGGAATTTTCTCGGGTTTCTGTTTTCGCAATTGAATTGGCTGAAAACGTTCTTATTATTACACTGAGCGGTGCGATTGTGAAATAAGAAATATACTTTTTATACCAGTTTTATTCATTCAAAAATACCAAAAAGACGGTCACGCTAAAGTAATCGATGTCACGTGGATACTATCGATTATATTCGTATTGTATACGATAGTTTCAATTCAAATCTCTAATAGCCTCTTCCCATAGAGTCCATCCGTTAGAAACGGTTGGGATTTTTGACGAATGTGAAACTCGTGTTCCCACAGAACTCCATCCACCATCTACCATCCAATAACAGCTGACTGAAGAGCAGTTGCTCAGCTCAACATTAACGAAGGGGGATTTCAACTCGGGAAAACTATTGTAAAATTGCGCTCTCCTAATTTTACTGTAGAATAATACAATAATTAGATTAAGAAAATAGTTTAAAAACACATCTGAACGTTTATAACATATCCTACAACGAGTATGCATACATATTGCTGACTGGGGGGAGCCTAACCTCCCGTACCCCACACTCCGCTCTTACTACGCCTCTGCCTAGCCAATATTAATATGAAAAATTTGTAAACAAAACACAATTAATACTGTTTTTGGTAAATTATAGCAACTTTGGAACTTTATAGGAGTACAAAGTACACTTTTAATTAATATTAGTTATATTTACGAAGTGCAGAACATATTTTGACACTTTGCTGCAAACATTGATGTTTTCGTACGCACATTTTGGCCCACACATAGCAACCTGCTCGCGAACGCTTTTCCGCTCATAACAAACTACAAATAATTCAAAAAGACCCAAAAAACAATGAGCTGAAGCATTATTTCATTTTTTCCCGCCATCGATTTGATTTGTTCTTGCAGACATCGTTCCAATTTTCACAGTCAAGAGGAAGAATTCAGAGTTGCACCGAGAAAACATCGCCCAACTATCGCATAAAAGAGCCCGTCAAAGTCCGTCAAAATTGGATGGCGGACTAACTGGGAAATTTTCGGAACGGCAAAACCTTACGGACCATCCGTTCAACGGATGGTAGATGGTGGATGGAGCTCTGTGGGAAGACCCTATAAACTGTTAAACAAAAAGAATTTTTTTTTAATTTTATAAATGAGCGCTCGATAGGGAATTTAAATATTTCTCTCTGCTTGTCTGGCTTGCTTTCAGGATCTTTGTTAAACTATGTGTATCATTGATTTCAAGGTAATTGCCATTAATCAATTCGCTATCATTTGATTAAACTGCCTCTCGCAACTCACGAGAGGTGAGTGTAATTGGCAGCCCTGCCTAGCAGTGACTCAACCCATCTCATGTATTATTGATATAAGTAAAATGTCTCTTTCGACACGACATTTTACATTCTGACTGTGTTTCTACCCGGGAAGGGGCAGGCTGATGTGGCGCGAACTCTGGAGGTGCCTGTCGAAGGCCTGCTTGCTCGTCGTGGAGTACTTGCGCAAGATGCACTGGGACTCCTTTCGTTTGACGTTGCCCTGAAGCCGCCTCTTGTGCAGGAGCGTTTCCTGGTGCCTCTTCATGCTGTTAAAGCCGACGATCCATATGTTGCACACCTTGCAGTGGAAACGCTCCTTGCCAAGGTGGACCGACAGGTGCACGTCGACGCTTGTCCGTACGGACGTGTACGGACAGAAGGGGCACTTCCATTCGTACTTCGAGACTTGCTCCACAGTGTTGAACCCACAGGTGTGCTCCTGCAAGTCGCTGATGCGGACGAAATACAGTGTATAAGATATTTCTGTGACACCCTCGATATGATCTAAAAATATTAGCTAAGGGTTAGTTGTCTTTACAAAATACACAGCATATTTTATTTCTCAAAATCAAATATTCGGAACGGGAAACAATAAATCCAATGAATGCATAGATATTTATATGGAGGGGCCTCAAGAAGTTAAGTTGGCGGACTTGCCAGTTGAGATCTGGGAGAGGGTCCTTTCCCATTTGGACGTGAAACATCATAAATTATTACGGGAAGTATCAGATGAGCTAGAAGACATCAGCAATTCTTATGTATTGCACCGCTACAAGTGCTATGAGTTAGCCCATCAGAAAAGTCCAAAAAATAAGCGCGACTACAAAGCTAGGGTCGTGTTGCAGGTGGGTTTGCTCTTGACTTAGTACCTGTTTTTCCTAACAATTTCTTATCTAATTTTCAAACTATTCCTTAGGTAATTCGGTACGTGGTTAGCTACTTTACCGATAAGGACTACGAGTCACATATTGTCCTCAGCTTGTTGACCCTCCAAGGTGAGGAATACGCGGTGAGAGCTCAGCTAAAAAAATTTCTTGTTAATTTTCTGTTCCGTTTGGAGAGCCCATTGAATGATTTTACTGCTGAGGGCAAGAAACAACTTCAACTCAGACGCCTCCATTATACAATGGCATTAATCAGACTGCTGCGAGTGAGTAACACGTTGGTATAATTGTCACATCCTGCATGAAAGTGTCCTTGCAGCAATTTCGAAATTTCCGGATCATAGGCATTGGCATGCCCCTGTTGCACTGGATTTTGGAGATAGAGCTGGACAATACCTTGTTCGGAACCATTGAAGAGGTCAAGCAAAGTGAGTCCCAGAGACGTGTATACTTTATGGTCATTATTGCCGAGCTGCTTTTCTACGAGATGAGACACAAAACTTGTAGGTAAGCATTCTGCCCAAAGGATTATTTGTTTTCTTGTATTCCTTTCGCATTTTATCCTCGTAATGAACCCATTTTATTGCAGCAGAGAGATGGATACTGATGGTACCATGTACAACTATGGTATCCTTTCCGAATCAACAGCTACACGCACTCCACGGCTACAGATCAAGTTCGAGGTGCAGGGACCGCAGAGTGTAATTAATCTACTGCATGATGTCACCACCGGAACAGACGACCCTAGCAAACCTTTTAACATGCCTCCGGAATCGGTCTTTACTGCTAACATCACGGTTAAGAGTTTTCGAGGACCCAACTATCTGTATAATGGCGATTTTCACATTAATATTTTAAAGTTGTCTGATCTATATGAGTGAAGTGATATTTCACAAAAATAATTTAAAATTAATTAATAATTTAAAACGATAATTGGTGTAATTTATTTTTTAACAGCTATCAGATAATTGTAGCCATAAAGGTAAGGTTAAAAAATCTTTTGCTATCAAAAATGTACTTTAATATATTTATACTTAATATATGCTTAAATATACTTTGTATGAGAATACATATTAATAACGAGATACCGCTGACGGTAATTGCTTTAAGATTAAATAAGGGCAGCGATAAAATAAACAAAAATATTTTATAAATATACAATTATTTGTATCGGCTTATCATATCACCTAATCCGATTAAAAATAGATTATCACATTTTCCACGTACCTATTTTCCAAATCATTTTCTAATCCGTACTTATACTTATCTTTTAATCTGACTATTTCTTTATCAGATGCTTAATCAAACTGTCAAGGTTTTTCAATATAAATCCCTTTGTGAATTATGAAAAATGTTCAGCTATTTTGTAGAAATATTTCCTAGCAAATCCTACGAAAATTTTTTATTTCCCTTTTATTTCGGTTTCGAAACCTATACCCGCGGACTATATAGGAAGGAGCGAAAGTTAAGAGAAAGAACCATATGTAATTTCTCTTTGCACCGATTGGTTTTAAACCAGACTCTCTCCGAGCGGACGTAATATTGGAAAAGTATGATATTCCATACTGTGGGCAACCGAGAGATTTTCTTTGCTCGGCTTTCCGATCTCGATCATTCGCTCTGGCGTTCTTGAGACGGAACAACGTAAATTTCCGCGATTAATCGGTTCCATCCAAAAAAAATAATTAAGATGATGACATACGCGAACAGCAAGCCGTTAATAATTGCAGTAAACTCATTCGTTTTTATAGCCGGTATAATTTTGTTAGTTATCTACCATTGCGGCAATAAAGATGATAAACCTCAAAATAACTAAGAAGTAAGTGCACCTTGTGATATATTCGAAACGCGACACTTTTTACGGCTGCAATGTAAATAAATATGTGTTTGTTTTATTGTTTTAGTTACTGTCTTGTCGGTGCGATACAATGTCAATCACACATCGATGCACAACAATTAGAAATCTTATACTGAACTCATTGCTAAAGCCAAGAAATATAACATGATCGGACTACAAATAAACTGAATTGATGAAAAATATTTGCACTTTTGCTTTTTTATTAATTTTGCGGTTTTCTTTATACTAAGTCATTGACAAGTGAATCTGTGAGGTAGGTCTGTTTGCTAAGACATACAAACACAAGCCAATAATTTTTTAAAGATAAACATAATGTCGTATCTTAATAATTTTACGTTAAATACATATATACTCTCTGTTCTGATTATTTTATCATTTTATATACGAATTTATATCTACAGAAACAACGAAACTTGTGTGCTTTGATTCGATTAGTAGTCTCTATTGCGGTTATATGGTTTTTAAACTTTTCGAAATGATAAGGCACTAATTCGGTAACCATAATCATAAAAACTTGATAAAACCGCTTTGACACCTGTTCAGTGATTCAAAATTAGCGACTATTTCAAAGAATAAAAAAATATTTTAGAATGATTCTGATTCTTTATAAAAGCAGTCTGCAATGTAAATTTGTTCTATTTTTTTTTCAATGGCATTAATACACTTGCAAAAATAAGACAATGGCATTTTACTTAAGACCTGTGGTAGGAAGGATGGGTAATATTCGAATTAAAAATTCCGTTATTAATTTGTTTTTTAAGAAATCCTTAGCATCTCAGTATTCATATTTTTTAAGGAAAAAACTATTTTTTTTGTGTTCGTTTTTGCAAAAATTAAAAGAGTATAAAAACTGCTGATTTAGCTTTCTTCTTCAGTTTTATACTCTTTGTTTGAATAATCTCATTGTAAACAGCTGAATATTTTCAAAGAACTAAGCAGAGATGATTGATTTTAAAAAGAAAGCTTAGCACTTTTGGCATTTTAAGTGGTTGAAACTGAATGAAAACAGTTTTCAGAAGGGCTTGATCAGCGGTTGATTGACGAATCATATTTTTATGTAGGAATGTTTCTTTTTTGCTTTTCGGAAGTACGACGAAGGTTTTTCCCCACATTCATTGCTCGTCGATTGGTCTTTAATTTCGATGTGACAGGGAAATGGGAGAGTTCAGGGGTGGCAGCGAGTGTCGGCCATTTAAACGATAATTAAAATGCATCAATTTATTGCCGTGAGCAGCGCGATGTGCGAGCAATAATAGCCATTTAATAAATACTCTCAATCAATGCCTCGCGCCTCTCCTCGCCCAAATAACGAAAAGAATTGCGGGCACAAAATATTTGCTTAATTAAAGTAATTATGGTTTCATATTTCATGCGGCGCGAACCTGTAGCTGTTGTCCAGGAGTCCAAGCCTCGGTCTGGGCGGTAATTACGTTTTGTCATAAATTTAACATTTATTTTAAAATGTCATTAAGTGCTTAACATGCTGTCCCTGTCTCGCGTTCCACTCCACCCTCTTGGTTTGTTTTTCCAGCTTTGGATTACACACTTTCTTGATGGCTCGGCATCATTCAAGTGGCCAAAAAGAATGAACAAGTGCACAGTTGACGATAATGGTGACATTTTTATTTTATTGCATTTCATTCTTTTTACCATCAAAAATATATTTCACCTATTTTTACAAAATTTCAGTTGCAAATTTATATTTTAAAAACTTTATAATGATAATTTATCATTAAGGATAAATATAGTTTTTAATATCAGTTTAAATGATAGTATAGGTTTATACGAATAAAAGTATTTAAATTTAATTGGCTTTTTAATACTTAAATTAAATGCTTTAACTTTGGGAGTTAAGTTCCCTAGGTAAAAAGTTAATGGAAGTACAGTATTCAAAAGGTATGCAACAAAAAAATTGTTTTTGAAAGCCCCCAAAACCAAATAAATTAACTCGCTTATTTAATATTTATTTTTTAAATGGTAACTATATATTGCTTTAAATAGTATTAATGTTTATGTGCGTTGAAATGAAACTGCTTTTAAATTTTTTCTGTATTTTATGGAGATAAAAAACTGATACATTTCCCATCACAGCTTGTTTCGGATCTATGGACACATTGCAGATATATGTCTGCAGACGAATGTGGCATGCAACAAAAGGAGGAGCACAAAAAATGAGTGCAGGAGAAGTGGTACGAAATGTGACAAGAGAATCCAACACCAAAATGAATAATGTAAATACGCCAAGTGTACAAAGTTTTAATTGTTATCATGTTTTGTTTGAGCGTTGCTGCCTCTCGCTCATCCTTTGCCTCCGTGCGAGTGTTTTTGTGCTTGTGTTTGTGTGTGGCACTCACGCCTCTTCTGCCAAGATGCATCCATTTACGGCTGGCCAAGTTCTACGTTGCTCATACGACACATTGGTCTCGGCTCTGCAGTTGGCTGAGTGGCCTGCGGCAGCAGCAAAGTTTTCATTTTGCATATGCGCCTCGAGGCTCTCTGTCATTTCACTACCCAAAACTCGGATCGGGGTTTTAATCCACGTTTTATTCCTGCACATATAAACTACTTTTTAAATCAAACTCTTTTGTCTGGGGGATTTTCTGGCAGATTGAGAGACACATTTGCCTGGCTTTATTTAAGTTCGGTTTTATTTCCTTATAATTTTACTACTCGCAAAGATTTATTATTCGCATCATTCAAAGGTCTTTTATTTTTATGTTTCCTGATAAATAGTTAAGGATATATACCCCTTTTTAGAGGTGTGCAAAAATATAACATCAAACTAAATTGCTCAACCTTAATGAATCAAGCTCCCCCGAGCGCAAATTTTATCTAACATAATTTAAGTTCATCTTTTATATCCTTTAATTTATTCTACACAGTATTACTTGCCTGCCATTCTGGGCAATTTTTCGTCCTCTTGATAGCCTAAATTATTTAAAGTTTTCTTTAATTTCAAACGTTTTGCTTCGACCGTTTAAGGCATTTATGACCATTAAAGTTTAAAATTGTTTCACTTGCAGTTGCTTTGCATAAATATTTAAACTTGTTTAGCTTGCATAAGCATTTTTGCCTCTGACTTTTGCCATGGAAATCCAGCATCCTGTGGCTTTTGCCGTATTTGTTTGGCACAAATTTTAAGTGATTTATGCTGGCCGCAATTGGGCTGACCAATAAATACGTAGAACGCACCGAGAGCCATGAAAAATGCAGGGATGCAGGGATTGAGAGTGGGTATCTCTCCATCGGGCATGCATATTTATTTGCCAACATTTACTTATGCTGCATTTGAGGCAACTTGGTTTTTCGGGCAACTCAAAGGCTGCTCCAGACAAAGTTGCCAGCCAAAGATTTGCCATAAGGACGCACATGAGCTATCAGTTTGTGTGTGTGTGTTGCCAAACAAGAAATAGCAGCAGCAACAACAATAATAGCAGCTACTGCTAGTAAAGCACTTGAAAGTTTTCCGAATCGGCTTCGGCCGGCCTTCTGTTTACTCGAGCACTTATTTATTTGATAATAATTCCAGGGGTTTCTTCCAAAACAAACTATTTGCGTTGGCCTTTCTGGAGAAGTCCGTAGTCCGAAGCCCGAGCTCTAGCTGTAGGTCTATTCATATAACAAGAAACCCGACCGGACCGTAGCGTAGCTGGCCAACTCTTTTGTCTAAATAAATAATCAAAATGTCATAACAAGTGGCGTGCGTCGAGGGCGCGGTGGTCGGGCCGGAATGCATCTCATCTGTGTGGCATGTATCTGCAATGTTTATGCAAATTCCGTGCAGCCACTCCTTGAGATCCTTGAGGCCATGCCGTGCTCCTGATTACGGATACGCACGCAGCCAGATCGACCCGGCTCCCCCAGGATGCATCAGTGCAATATAAATATTTTACATAGATTTTACATAGCTGATTGAAGTCCGTGTGCATATGCTAAGCCCGCCTTCCCAATCCACCCTCTTGCTCCACAACCGCCTGTAACTCATGCTGTGAAATTATCCTCTGCATGGCAATCATATCAAATCAAATTTAAAGTGCCCCTCACCAGGCACAGTGGGTGCATCGGTTTTAAGTGCCCGAACTTTAAAGGCTTCAGCTCGGACGGCTTTAATATTTGTTTATTATTACTACGTGCAGGCGCCTTTATGGCTTAATTTTTGGTTATTAATTAAAATGGTTTTTCATGAGCAGCTTTCGCCTCATTACTTATTTATTTTCTAATATTTTAGTAAGGAGGCAAATCGTTTCATTACACATTTCAGGAAATAGTTGACTCAAGGCAATTAAATCTTTAGTTTAATGGCTTTTCATGTGTAGCTTGGTAACCTCACATTTTCATTTAATTTGAATTTGGGGTATTTATAGTTTGAAGAGTAAAGCATTTTCAGAAAAAATCTGAAAGGCATTTTTGGTAAATATGGACAATAAAATAAATTTGTTGTAAACTATTAGTTTACCCGTAGTTTTTCTGAAAAAGTATGTAACGGGTAGAAGGAAGCGTTTCCGACCCTATAAAGTAAATATATTCGTGATCAAATGCACATAAGACATTTTCCGATAGGTGGCGCCACATGCGGTTCTGCGGTTAACAGACATTTTACACACATTTAGGACACGTTTATTGAAGGAACATTTCCTATTAAGGTATTGGAATCTTATAATATAAGTATATCTGTGGATAAGTTATTACTCTATTTTTTTATGGTAAGATATTAATTTTCTTCAATGCGATTGCAAGGTATTGAATAGGATTATGTAGTTCTGTGACACATAATTCACCATCATATCTAATAAAACACCAAATAAATACATCTCATTAATGGAACTTTTGGTATACAGGGATTCCCCGAACCATCCGTCTTCCAAGTGAAACCCACAACCGAATCTAACCCATAGTTCGCACTTCAACGAAATACGAACCAGCAGTATGCTAATATGGCTCAACATTTGCATACAAAGGCGTAAGCCTAATTGAACCAGCTGTGATTGGAATGGCCCCAGAACCACCCGTGAATGTGGGTGGTGTGAGTTGTGGGCGGTGGGCGGTGTGGGGTGACCTACAATGCGGGTGGGAATTAGTGGTGACGGTGGTGCAATTAATAGCTAATTTAGAGTCGATGTTAAAAAGGCAACATTATTTATGATTATTTGTTTATTGCTTGCGGGTCGTTTGCTGCTTTCCACCTGAACGAATTAACACCCCACCCACCAGGACACCCACCACCCTCGAACCACCTACACCCGCTCACCCACACATGCAAAGCAAAGCCGCTGGCAGCATTTAGCTGCAATAGACAGCCATTTTGTGGTGTTGCCTCGGCGATAAAGTAATAGCTGCTATTTGGGTTTATGACACACACACACAAACGGACTCACCAACTCACGGGGAAGCTACATGTGTTTTTGGAAAATTTTTTCTGCTTCCGGCAGACACAAATACAGACGCTGGGCTGCCTTTGTTGTTCTTTTCCGCCAAGCCAAAAGCAGAAGCAGAAGCACAAGCCGCAGCCAAAGGCTGAGCTGCAGATGCCTGCACGCGAAAAAAGACCCATTTTTTAAGAAATAAATATTTAAGAGCGATGAAGAGGGGAACTAATATTGATTAGAGCTGCCATTATAGTTTTGAAGAGAGGAAGTTTCAAAAGATCGTACTATATGTTTCGATTAGCAGTTTTGGTAGCATAACTCAATATTTTAGGAGACAACTTTTCCCAACGGATGATTCTGTTGAAAAATATTGTAAAAAATCTCACATTGCATTGAAAAAAATTTCAAAACTCCTATCTTAAAGTCTAAAAATGATGGTTATAACTAAGCCAAGTAAAATAATGTATTTTATTTTTAATAAATAGTTTTCCTTAAATTTAAAAAAATTCTTTAGAAATGACGAATTGTTTTCTTTTTGATTATTATGCATAATACACTCAAAAAATTATTTTCTTAAAAAAAGATCATTTTGTATTTTGTAGCAGTAGATTTTCGATTGCTAAATATTTGTCTTTTTAGATAATAACTTAAAACCCGATCTATATATCATGCCTTAATTATAATTATAATGCAATGTTTACTTATTTATTTAATATTTCGATTGTTTATTTTAACTTTTTTTCGGGAAACCGATTATGATTAGGCTGTCTGACTTTAAAAACAGTAAAAATACCTAAATTTGTTCCTGTGTACGGGACTAAAGTGGGCAGTGGTTGGTTTATAAGAAGGGGAGGCGTGGCGAGGCGTCATTTTGTCTGCGGTTAGATGCGCGTACGTTTTCATGTTTTGTTCGCATTTCTTTTCTCTTTGCTCCCCGCTCTTTATGCTCTTGTTAAGTTTTATTTTGTATTTTTTCCTTTTGATTTTTGTTTTGTTACAGCCATGTGAATTTTTTCGCGTTGGCTTTCGGCTGTTGCGCTGCCGTGTTTTTCACCATTCGCCATTCGCCGTTGTTGCGGTTGCAGCACGTCTGAACGTGTTTATGGCGCGCATATCCGCAAATATGCAATCAGACCATAATCTACTTAATGTCTTTTTCGCCAGGAGGTGGGAGCGAGTCCGCCATCGCGCAAAAAAAGTGCGCATTGTGAATGAAGTAATGCAGTTTGCCACATTCCGGCCAACGAGCACACACGTGCTGCTCGTATTTATGGCCAAAAGCAAAGGACACGGCACATTAACCGAAATTAGGCTGTCACTTTTTGGCCATTCGCGCATTAGCTTCAAAAATGAAGTTAAAAGTGCGTGTTTCTCCGCTTTTTCATTATCAAGACTTTTGTTGCCTACTTTTTGGCGCCCAACGAAGCGTGCGATGCTTTGAAGTCCTAGGCAGGGATATAAGGTACAAATTTAAGAGGCGGCACAACTTTCTGGGTGAAGCGAATTTTGGCCCATGGAAAATGGGTATTATAAACGATTAAAAGCAAATTTTAAATGAGAAAATAAAGAAAAGTTTCTGTTACAACGACTTAAGTTAGATAAATTATTAATATTTCAGAAAATAGAATTAAAAACAAAAAAATGCGATTACATTTTTATTCAAAACTAATCTATATTTATTTATTGCATTTAATGAAGAAACACTTGAAAACAATGTGTAAATCTGAATGAGACGATGGGGAGACTACTTTCGTCTTGATTTCAAGAACGTTTCTTCTCTGATAAATTAGAGGACATTCTTTATAACAGACCAGTTTGCATTAAATTACTCTCTCAAAAGACAACATACTCTCTGAAGAGAACGAAAAACTAGACAAACGGGAGTCGAAAGTGGGTTGATGAAATGAGAGTACAAATAAAGGAGTCATAAAAAAGAGAACCAATTCCTGATACATTTATGAGAACATTTGATCTTAAATTTGTTCCCTTTTTCAATTTTTCCGAGTGTAAGGACAAAATGGATCCCCTTTATGGCCTCCATGTCTTCTATATTCTGCATAAACAACATAATTTGTATTTACCTAGCCAAGCCATAGCCCAAGGATGCATTACTCGTAATACAACCGATTCCCCGACTCTGACTTAAATTTACACAGCCTTTTAGCCAATTTTAAAGACAAGTCGAAACACAAAAGCCTGAAGGACACAAAAAGCGGTGAAAACAAAAAGACGCTTGCAAAATATTTTGCCGTAGACAACATTAGATATTGTTTTGAGCTGTGCAGACATGGGCTGGCATTTTAGTTTTAGTTTCTGTTTCTGGTTGGAGTTTTGTTTCTGGTTCTGCAACTGCTTCTGTTTCTGTTTCTTTTGCTATTATTGTTATTGGGGGATGGCTGACAGTCTCCGACTGGCCTGTTATTGTTGGCCAGGCGCACAATGCGGCCATAAAAAGCTGGCAGAGGCAAACAATTGAAACAATAAAACGGCTTTAAGAAGTGGATTTCGCAGGCGAGCCTCGGCAGCTACAGTAGATAAAGGCAATTAGTGGGGTGGGACTGCAGTTTACTCAAAGTTTTTTTTTAAATCGGAACCGGATCAGCTAGATGGCTGGAGATTGGAATGGAATCTGGCCTCATTTGGCGTTGAAAAGTGCCTTGACGGTCTCGTCGGTGGTGTCGATGATCAGTTTGTAGTAGCCCGATCGCCTCAGCAATCGCTCCTCGTCCTCGGCCACGCCGTAGATGTCTTCGATGGGCATCAGGATCTCCGACTCGTTGGGCAGGATCAGCTTGCGCGCATCCTTGCGAAACATGGCCACCGCCTTGACCATATTGGTGTGTGCCCTGGCATAATGCTGGAAGGTGAGACTCTTCCGTTTCGCCGACAACTTCGACTGGATGCGATCGAGTCGGGCGATCAGGCGGATCAGGATGAACTGGGCATAGCGATCCTTGATCTCCAGCAACGACATCTCACCGCCATGGTCGAGGGCTGGGCGCAGGTAGACGCTCAGGATGATAAACACGAAAATGGCATTGATCGCGAAAATCACCAGAAGGATGGCCAGCTGGAAGCAGTCGATGTCCTGCGAGAAGACCTCCGCCAAATGCTTCCAGTACATCAAGTCGTAATGATGTATTTTCCACTGGTAGTGCAAGTAGGCGGTTATTGCCACGCCCATTCCGCTATAGAGCGCTATGTATGGGTAGTTTACGAAGAAGAAGTCGCTCAGCTGCCCACGCAGCTTATGCCAGAGCTCCATTACGTCCTGTGTTCTGTCTCAAGAACTGTGCGAGGGTCCTGGCTGGTAGCGGGTGAGTCCGGTAGATTTTAAATTTTTTTTCGTCTAATTTTGGTGCGGGTTTTCCGAAATGGTTGAGCCTTATTTTGAGTCTTCCGGCGGGTCTACTTAGTTGGGAATATGGTATGGATGTCATCGAAACAACTAATTGGTCCTTTTATTCTCCAAGCTTATATATATAAAAGAAAGTCTAAATTGATTTCAATGCACCAACAAATCGTTTGGTGAAATTTTCAATATATAGTAAAATGGTCTCAAACAATCGAGTTGTCGGTTTGGCCCGTGACTCTCACAACAACAAAATACATAAAACATAGTATTTTATCTACTATTAAATAGTAGCTAATTCAAAAACAAAATACACGGTAATTCAACGTGAAACGTGACAGGCTAATTTGGCTAAAATAATTCAAAACTTTTTTTCTCGATAGAGGATTAAAATATAATGCTTTTATGTTTTTTTTTATCTCTTGCCGCTTGGTATGCAGCTTTTGTGGGATATCTTAATATCTTTCAGAAAAATATTTTTAAAAATTGTTAAATTTAAAATGAATTATTTTTTAAGAGAATTTAAAATTTGAAAAGTTCTGTACGCCGAAAAGCACGCGGTTTTCGAATAAAAAAATGTATTCTTATATTGCTTTATCAATTTTTCGCAAAGTGGTAAAATAAAATTTTTTGTATTTGCAAGACCTTCTAGCACAGACAACGATTTTAGTTTAGCAACTTTGCATCAAGCAACAACAGTGCCCTTCTATTACTTCTCCTACAAAAATGTTCGAAAACTAACTAATTTTTATGTTTTTTCTTTTAAATTGGCCAATTTTGACTTATTTGAGTGCTTTTCCCTAATATATTTATAAAATTCAAAACTTTGAAAAAAATCCTATATTTTTAATTGTTTTAATAAATGTGTTATTATGTCTTTTTTTAATAATTGCAAGATTGTCCTAAAACCAATTTGTTGAAAAGTCAGCCAAAAGTATAAGAGCTTTTTCAGTATGTCCACCCTGCAACCTAGATATTGTGGATGCCAAACAAGTCGCTGGGTCGAACTTGATTTGTTTGAAAGGTTTGAGCTTTTCTCCCGGTTTCTGCAAATGTTTGAGTGGCTTTTGCCAGAACTAGCACAAATTTGACCTGTTCCCCTGGAACAAGCAACCGTTTTCGGTTGCCACAACGCGCTTGGAACCGCCCACGACTGCAACTCGAACATGAATTCGAACTTCCTTAAAGTTTTTGGACTGTGTTTTATTTTTCTTATTTTCAGCTGCAGGCCCCGAAAATACCGAAAATATTCAGGTCCTTGTTGGGCGACAACATTTCGCTATCTCGGCTAACTTTTGCCAGTACCCCTCCCCCTTTTCTATCAACCATAACCGATTTGAGACGTTGATAAGGCAGCAAAAAAACCCAAGCATACTTCCAAGCGCAATGCAATTTTCCATTTTCCTCGTTTCTTTTCTTTTTCGCTGTTTTTTGCAGTTTCCCCCTTATTTTTCGGTTCCGTTCTTTGTGCTGTGCACTTATTATTGTCTCTTTTCGGTTGACTTTTTGCGCCGAGGCCAAAGTGCATGCAAAACTGCATTTTGTAGACAAGCCGAAAACCGAAAACTGCCAGCCAAAACGGAAATATTCAAAAATTGTTAGCGGAGTGGGTGGCTGTGGGTGGTGGGGTGGGGCGGCCTATCTGGCCGTGCTCGGCCTTTCCCTTCTTTTTATGGGTGTGTGTGTGTGTGCGCGCGCTAATAAAAACGTAAAATTTAATGGTTACGGAAGGCACTAAAAAACAGGCTCACCGACAGCACCCAAGTCGTTGTTGCTGCCTTTTGCTGGTCTGCACTTAAAAAAAAGAAGGATTTTAATGAGTCAATAAAAATTGATTAATAAGCAGATATATTGCCACGTTACTCATGCTGAGATCGAAAATAGTAATTGTCTTACTCAAATTACATATCAAAAGCCAAACTAAAAAAAACAAAGGAGTATTCCAAAAAAATGCTTTTAAAAATGTATCATTAAGGAAAGTTTTGTATTATTGGCGGAGCTGCTTAGAAAACTGTTCATTTACTTAAAGAAATTTCTTACTACAAACAAACGATCTAGTTTTTCGATTTTTTTTAATTTTTTAATAAAATAAAAAAAAAGGGAAAACTTTTTTAAATAGACTTTTTAACCCATGCGAAATAGAATCCTTGTTTTTTAATTTCCAAATATTTTTTGTGAGTGCATCTGCAGTTGCTGTTGCACTGGTAGTGGTGCAAGCAGTGGTCTTTGGCTGTGTGAGTAGTGGCGCTGGCGATAACCAAGCAACGAACCACAACCGCACCAAGGAGCGCGGGGAAAACCAGTCGATGGACAAAACTGTAACTACGCCAACCGCCGCCGTCCTTGCCGCCCCTTCTGCCACCCCCTTTTGCCACCGCCGACGCAGTGGAGCGCCCATCCGTGCACGTCAAACGCAGACAACTTGAAAAATGTAGAGACAGCGCCGCAGTATAGTTGAAACACGCCAAAAAATATGCAAAAGTAAAATAAAACAGGCGCAGACACAGGGACAGACAAACGCATTTGGGCCCGTCGAAAAGCAGGCCCAATCCAGTAACTACCAACTACCGACACCCAACGTTCGACAGTCGAGGGTCGAGGTTCGACATTTGCCGTTAAAGGTTTTTCGTTGTTGCTGTTTACACTCGATGTACTCATCGCCGCCAAAGGGGTAACTTTTGGGTGAGCCAAAAATTTTAACAATATGTTATGGAAAATGGTTTTTTATGGAACTAACCAACTTTTTTTAAAATTTATATTTTAATTTAATCAAAAAGTAATGTCTTCAAATGGTTTAATTTTATAAAGTATTTTAAAACAAATTATTCTAAAACAAATTATATTAAAAAATTTATTTTCAAAAAATTTATTTATATTTTAATAATTTACTTTCTTTACTTACTTAACCCTTATATTACTTTTTTTTATACATGATGTTTCTGCAGGTGTCGCCGTTTAGTCTTTTTTTAAGTTCCTTTTTTTTTTGACCAATACTCTCCCTTTGCAAAAGATATTCAAAATTTTAGATATAATTTGGTTTATAACAGAAATTTCCAACATAGCCTACAGAAATACTTATTCGAAATCGAAAAAAAATCATAACGATGTCTTTGTTTGGGCAAACAGTTGGACTTAAATTATAACCAAAGAAAATTATAAACTAGTCTTACATTTTATTAATATCTAAGCAAACTAACTTAGTGCCACACAAGATTGCCTTTGTTTTGATATCACAGGAACACAAAATTAAACTTTGTGAAATTTCCACGAACCATTTCAAGTTTTCCATGATATTTGGGTGCTCCTGAGTAAAAGTCCCATACAAAATTATTTTCCATCACCTACAGGTTCCGCGGTATAGCTAAGAATACAAAAAACCGGTGTTGGTCGACATTTTGAATTACGTGGCCTATATAATTGGACTAACCTTTATTATTTTCGGTAGGACCTACTCTCAATACATCACGGCATTCCTAAAAAATAGTCCCCATTGTGAACCATTGCCCATGTCTTTGGAATTCGACGCCAAAGTTGAAAATCCCAAAATTGTAGAGATTTTTCTGATGTAAAAAGAATTCTGAGGATTAAATCTTGAATGGAAGTAATTTTAACTTTTCATTGTATCTATTGTTCATTGTATGCTTTAATTTCGGTTTAAAGCGTTTTCATGAGGACATTTTATTGGATTTCTTATACTAATAAAAGCTATTTTTGGATTTCATTATCTACTCCTAAATGTTGTCAAATTTTGAATAAGTCATGGCAACCTCTAGAACTAAGAAACTAAAATACGTTCACTGAACATACATAGAAAAATGTAAATGTTTACTCCCATTCTGTAGGATGCCTTGACTTTTTTAAAATTTGACAACATTTAGGAGTAGATAATAAAATAAAAAAATCGGTTTTATTAGTATAATAAATCCAATAAAAAATATTCTCATGAAAACGCTTTAAACCGAAATTAAAGCATACAATGAACAATAGATACAATGAAAAGTTAAAATTACTTCCATTCAAGATTTAATCCTCAGAATTCTTTTTACATCAGAAAAATCTCTACAATTTTGGGATTTTCAACTTTGGCGTCGAATTCCAAAGACATGGGCAATGGTTCACAATGGGGACTATTTTTTAGGAATGCCGTGATGTATTGAGAGTAGGTCCTACCGAAAATAATAAAGGTTAGTCCAATTATATAGGCCACGTAATTCAAAATGTCGACCAACACCGGTTTTTTGTATTCTTAGCTATACCGCGGAACCTGTAGGTGATGGAAAATAATTTTGTATGGGACTTTTACTCAGGAGCACCCAAATATCATGGAAAACTTGAAATGGTTCGTGGAAATTTTTGGCTGTGTACCTGTGTATTAAGTAAGTTATGTATTTTAATCAAGCCTGTTTTTGATCGAAATAAAGGGTGTAATAATCCATAAGGATGGGTTTTGCTGTTGTATAAAATAATGAGAATGATAATTATTAAGGAAGGTTTAAAAATCGTTTAATAAAGAACAATATTTTGTACAAAGTTACATTTTTACTTTTTTTTTAATATTTCTTACGAGTTTTTTGCTAATCTATTCTTCTTTTGTCTTCTGCGCATCTCTGGTTCCTGGCCACTTTTATTTTGTTTTGTTATTTGGCAGCGCATTGCACAATATTTTGCAGCAGGCAGTTTTTACCCACTTTTTTCCAGAGGGCCTGCCCCCTTCCGTTTGTCAACTTGACAGCGGGCAAAGGAAAGAGGAGCAGTAGCATTTTCAGCTGGAGTTGGAAAGTCAGTTGTCGGTGGGATCGAAAGTTATGTGGCCCGGCTGTTGAATTCGGAGAGGTGTGCGTGCGGCAAAGGACTCTAAAAGCTAACTGAATGGACAGCAATTTGCGCGGCTAAACGAGTCCACAAAGGTTCGGGGTCCCGGGTCCTGGGTCCTTTTGCCCACGTCCGAATGGTTGCCGCCTGCTACTGTAATTAGGTTTGTCGCTGACCAGACTCACATGGTATCGAATCGAATCGGAACGAACGAAACGAATCGAGTCAAAGTC